CTGTGACACCTCCTGAGAAAAATCCATGCTAGGGACATGCCTGGCCCAGGTGGGCAGATCCCAACAGGGCCCAAGAATTGAATCTGCATCAGATAGACCATTAACTGGACCAGATCTGCATGAAGCTTTGTAGACTTGCCTGTAATCAACATTGCTCTCTAATCAGTTCCAGCCCTATGTGAACAGAAAGGTTTTTTTCCCAACTCTGCAGCCTGGGGAGTAAGGAACCAATAATTGACTCCAGGTTCCTTCTGTGTTTTGTCCTGGAGTATGTGAGTCAACACACTCTTTCCCAAAAGGAACTTCTAGGCAGCTGAAACCACTGGAGAGGGTCCCTGGATGCTGATTCCAGACCTCAACTCTAGCCTGCAGCTGGGTTCAAGGAGAGGACCCCAGTAAGACGTTCTCAAATGAGGCTTTAGCAGACACTGGGCTCATGTGGAAGGAGCTCTGGTGGTGCAATACCTAAGGCATTTGACTACTACCCAGAAGGTTGGCAGTTCAAACCCACCAACTGCTCTGCAGAGGCAATCTACTTCCGTAAAGATTTACCACCTTGGAAACCCAGTGGAGGTCACTATGAGTCAGAATCTACTCGATGGCAGTGGGTTTGGTTTGGGTTTGGGGGCTGGTGTGGAGTGGAAAATAAGAAGTGGGTAGGACAGACTGTAGGAAATGCAGATTACTATGGCACATTTGTGGTACCGAGCTCAGCTCAGGGAGGGTTTGAGTGTCACTATAGAGAGAAGAAGGCAGGAGAGGAGAGCAGATGAAGTCTTGTAGTTGATTCAAGGGTGGAGAGCAACGCTGACAGATTTCTTTTGCCTTTGACTCTAGAAAAAACCAGTTGCATGGAGTCAACTCCAACTCATGGTGACGCCATATGTGTGAGAATAAAACTCTGCTGCATGGGATTTTCAATGACTGATTTGTTTGGAAGTAGATTGCCAGGCCTTTCTTCTGAGGCAAATCTGAGTGGGCTCAAATCTCCAACCTTTCAGTTAGCAGCCGATGCACAAACAGTTTGTACTACCCAAGCACTCTTAAGATCCAAAGACCTTTGTTTGTTTGTTTGTTTTAAAATAAGCCAAGTACCTTGTCAAAGTTTAATTTCTGAGCCTGTTAATATACTTTTCCAATTAGATTTTGAGATTATTTCCCCAGTTTTAATTATGCAGATAAATTAGATGAAATTGCAGAGGAAAATAGATCTTAAAACTTTGAGAGAGTGTTAGAGATTAACTATCTAGTCTAATCCTTTTAGTTCACAGAGGAGAAAATTGAGGCCTAATGAGCTAATTAACTTTGCCCAAGGTCACTGAGCTGGCTGATGAGACCTACAAGTAGAATATACTAGTTTTTCTCCTTTATTGCACTGCTTCCCTGTGCCATTTTGTCTTGCTCAGTAGGGGGGACAGTGGGACAGATCTGTAAATGATCCAGCTTGTCATTGGAAATAGACTTAATCAGTGGCCACAAATTTCAACCCTTCAGCCAAACTTCATCTGTCACATCATAAAGAAGAACTTGCCAAAGAGGGGTTTGCAAATCCAAACCAGATCCTTCTCCACTCCTCAAGGGGCCAGTTCCATCAGACGGCACTAAAGCCAAGTGTTTCCAGCAAGCCTGAGCAGTTGCATTTTAGTGTTTTTTGAGCTGTCACAAGTAATGAAAGCTTCTAGATGAATGTGATCTATTCAGGAGAAGGTTGAATCCCACCAGTTAGCTTCTCGTGGTGCCCAACAGAAGAGAGAAATGGTCTTGTTTCTAAGAATCCACTGCCCCATGGAACAGAGGGTCCTGCAGAAGTGGGTATGGTTACAACCCAAGGAGGTGCTACATTCAAACCTGCCATTACACAGATCTTTGCCACTTAAGATGCACATGTGTTTGCACTGCCACTGGCCTTTGAAATCTTCAACATATGTTAAGGGGGAGAATAAGCAATAATTAAGCCAAAGACACCAACCCAGGATCTAGTTTTCCTTGAAGTATGAGTGGTTTTCATTATATTGTATAGGAACTGTGAAAAAGGCACAGCTCTTCCAGGGACATTATTCTCTAGGCCAAGACTCAGTCATTTGATCTGAGATTTTTGAAAATGGTTCCAAAATTAGATGCTGAAGTTGTATATATACGTATATTCTAGTCAGTAGGATATATTAGCGAAACTAGGGTGGGGGGAGTCAAACCAAAAGCAAGCCAACTTCTGTAATTAAAAAAAGAAAAAGAAGCAGTTTAATTTAGGAAAATGTCTAGAGTTCTGGAAGTCCCACCCCGAGACCACTCTGGAGTCTAACATTGCTCTCCCAAACCCCACCTCAATGGAGAAAAGTTATTAGGGTTTATTTGTTGTTGTTGTTGTTGTTGTTGTTGTTTGCCGTCGAGTCAGCCCTGACTCATAGCGACCCCTCCTTGGGTTTCCGAGGCAGTATCGCTACGGAAGTAGGATTGCCCAACCTTTCTTCTGAGGAGTGGCTGGTGGGTTTGAACCGCCAGCCTTCTGGTGAGCAGTCAAGGGTTTATTAGATACAGGAAAACACTGTGTGCAGGGTTCTCCTGGTTGGTGAACTGTCCTTTTCAATCCAAGGCTCTTAGCCAGAGCTACCTTCTCACTCATTAACTCAGCCAACTGAGTGCTTCCTGTGTTACCTCTGGAGCCTCAGAGGTGATCGAGATAGAGTCTCTACCCTCTGATACCTCATGGTCTAACAGGGAGATAAATAAGAAAATCAGTATTTATAATACAGGAAATAAGAGTTAAGGATATAGAGTTTAGAATCAGACAGATGTAGATTCAAATTTTAGCTCTGCCACTTATTACAAGTGGCAGATCTTGGGCAAAATTTCACTCCTTTCTCTACGTCTTAATTTTCTCCTCCATAAAATATTTCATAGGGCTATTTTGGAGATTTAGGAACTCTGGTAGCATAGTGCTTAAGGCACTTGACTGCTAACCAGAAGGCTAGCAGTTCAAACCTACCAGCCACTCCTTGGAAGGAAGGTTGTGCAATCTACTTCTGTAGTGATAGAGCCTCGGAAACTCAAGGAGGGGTCGCTGTGAGTCAGGTCTGATTCGACAGCACATAACAACAATATTTTGGAGATAATGACATGCTGGATTAAAGCCCTCAGAACAATCTTTGGAAAATAATAAGCACTCAATAAATCTACTAGTATTCAGGTATATATAGGGTGTTCCAGGAGCCCAGAGAAAGGGGATTGGAAAAAGGCAGGAAGGGATAGTGAAATATACTGTATTTTGAAGAACAGGTTGAAGTCAGTAAGATGGATAAGGAGAGAGTAAGAATGGTTCAGACAGGACAAAAAGAATCTTCATAAGCCTAGAGTCATGAGAGAAACTGGGATGTTTGAGGAACTTAGTATGAAAGTAGCTTAATATGGCTAGAGCAAAGGGATATTTACAGAAACTGAGGCTAGAGGAGACTAGGACCAGACTGTGAAGAGTGCCTACCACCGCTATAGTTAATACTAGAGGAGCGTTAGCCAATGCTGTATGGCAAGAAAAAATGAAATGAGAAAGTGTAATCACAGGATAAGAAGAAAGAAAACTACTATCATTTGCAGGTGTAATTGTCTATGAAATTTTTAAAAAATCTACGATAAAAACTGTTTGAATTGACAAGAGGTCAGAAAATTAGAATAGATTCAGTATACTAAAATTAGTAAAAAAATTTTTAAAAAAACAGTGTGTATATATTAAAAATGTAATGAGCAAGACAAGTCCATTCACAATAGACACTATAAAGTATTTAAGGATAAATCTAACAAGATTTACAGGAAGAAAAATACTAAAGTTTAAAAGTAATTTAAGCTCACCATTTAAAAATTCAAATAAGAAGGGTCTAAAGAGAGTGAAGATTACCTACAGTCTCACCACTTAGAAATAACCTCTTAAAATACTGAGATCTGTCCTTTCAAACTGTAATAATACTTAAAAACTATTTATTCTGTCACTGTGAAAGTGTGTGTGATATGTTAAAAAGAAGACAAAGTTTTTTTTTAGGCAGCATGTTTAAAGCTATTGTAAGAAAGTAGGTAACCTTAACTTAACCAATTGCCAAGAGTCATGGCAACACCATGTGTGTCAGAGTAGAACTGTGTTCCATAGCATTTTCAATGGCTGTTTTTTCAGAAGTAGATCACCAGGTCTTTCTTCCAAGGTACCTCTGGGTAGACTTGAACCTCCAACCTTTTGGTTAGCAGCCAAGTGTGTTAACCGTTCTCAGCTTTTAACTGTAGCACCCATTCCAGTTAAGCACCCAGAGACTCCAAGAAAGTTTTTGTTGTTGTTGTTACGTGCTGTCAAGACGAATGCAACTCATAGTGACCCTTGGGTTTCCAAGGCAGTATCACTACAGAAATACCTTGCCCCATCTTCCTTCCAAGGAGTGGCTGGTGGGTTTGAACTGCCAGGCTTTTGGTTAGCAGTCAAGTGCCTTAGACACTATGCTACCAGAGCTCCCCCAAGAAGGTGGGTAGAGGTTATAAAAGAGAGATTCATCAGGAAGGAGCAGAAGTTGAAAATGAGATTTCTGGATGAATAGAAATACATTGAAAATCCTATGATACAGCACAACTCTAACACTCATGGGGTCACCATGATTCAGAATTGACTCAACAGCAGCGAAGTTTTAGAAACGTGTTGACAGTGGAGACCTCTATTTGGGGACAGGATTGTCTGGATACCATATTATGTTGACTGACCACAACAGATTTCATCCTGACCAGGAAAAGATTGTCCCTAGGGAGGGCTCTGAGATGTTTGGTTTCAATTCCATCCTTCTTGTATGTAATTCTTGCCCACTATCTACTTAACTGTTCTCCCTCCCTACTCTTACTTTAAAAACAAAGCAAAACAAACAAAAAGGCGGGTGCATAGTTTGGCATTGTATCTAGCGTTGAATGTGTGTCAGATGTGGGGCCCAGAAAACATGTTGAATGAACCTCCTGTTATGTTTTTCGTGTCTGCTCCCCAGACCGCCCAGGTTTGCTGAATGTGAGGCCCATCGAGGACATACAAGACAACTTGCTGCAAGCCTTGGAGCTCCAGCTCAAGCTGAACCACCCCGAGTCCTCTCAGCTGTTTGCCAAGCTGCTCCAGAAAATGACAGACCTCAGGCAGATTGTAACAGAACACGTGCAGCTATTGCAAGTCATAAAGAAAACAGAGACGGACATGAGTCTTCACCCACTCCTACAAGAGATCTACAAGGACTTATATTAGCAAAGAAGTCCGAGATCACTGACCAAGTTTTCTTCTTCAAATTGCACTATTATTTTGAGGGAAAATCTGACACCTAAGAAATTTACTGTGAAAAAAAGCATTTTACAAAGAAAAAGTTTTAGAATAATAGATCTATTTTAAGCATATTGTTTATAAAGATACATTTACAATTTACTTTTAATATTAAAAATTACCATATTATGAAATTGCTGGTAGTATTTGAAGTCTGGATCTGATGCGTTTCCCACCCACCCCTTTGGGCATTTCTTCTTCTTCTTCTCTGTCTTCTTCCTTTCTTTTCTTTCTTTCCATCCTCCCTTACTCCTTTTCTTCCTTTCTTCTTTTATTTAATGTGAATGGTACTGCTAGGAAATTTTTTACTCTTAGTAAATTAAGTTTTGACTCAGTTTACAACTTCTCTGAACACTACATTTGAGGTTGCTGTGAATCAGAGTTGATGCCACAATAATTTGTTTGTCTACATCTGCCTTAACAATAAGAGCTAAGTAGGGAAGGGAAACTTCAGGACCAAAAACTTCTCCAAGCATGTGTGCCTTACAACCTCAAACTCTCAACTACTGTTGAGTCAGATCCGACTCATAGTGACACCTCCTTGGGTTCCCAAGGTGGTATCACTACAGAAGTAGATTGCCCAGCCTTCCTTCTGAGGAGTGGCTGATGGGTTTGAACTGCCAGCCTTCTGGTTAGCAGTCAGATGCCCTAGGCACTACGCCACCTCCATGCAACAATTGTGAGGATGGCCCAGGGCGGGGAAGTGTTTCATTCTGTTGTGGGAAGGGTCTCAAGGAGTCAAAACCAACTCAACAGCACCTAACAACAGCCCGTGCTTACCAAGAATTCAGACTTCTTCCAGAATCCCAACCAAGCTGCTCACTCACCAACAGCAGCCTATGCGACATGCTGCATATGAATGGTATACAAATACAAGCCCAAAGGCCCATATGCAAGTGTTGTTGTTGTTGTTATTTGCTGTCGAGTCATAGCGACCCCTCCTTGGGTTTCCAAGGCAGTATCACTACGGAAGTAGGATTGCCCAACCTTCCTTCCGAGGAGTGGCTGGTGGGTTTGAACCACCAGCCTTCTGGTTAGCAGTCAAGTGCCTTTAGGCACTATGCTACCAGAGCTCCTTATGCAAGTGTTAATGCTGCGCAATACTAGAAGTGGTGGGTGATACAAAAGTGTTTCAGGATCTGGCACCTGCCAAAAAGAAGTTACAATTGAATTGAGAAGAAAAGATTAATCTACTTAAAACAGATTATAACACATAATAGTAATCGTGCCAATGAATGGTTGACTTCAAAGGAAATAAAGAATTATGAAGATGGTAATAGTCAAGAATTAATCTGTAGAGTAGATAGGATTTGAAATGGGCTCCAAAGGTTGTGTTGGATTTGGGAGAAGTCAAGAGTAGGAAGGAAACATTCTAGGAAAGTGAAATAGCAGGAACAATAACAACAAAAAAAAGCCTAATGAGAGAAAATAGCCACTCTCTGGATCCTGCTTATATAGAGTAATTCTGCTTATATAGAGTGATTCTATCTTTTTCTTTGAGACCACCTTGTCCAGAGGTCTCTCACTTTTCTGAACCCAAAAGGTAATTTTCTGTATCATGTATGTAACAGTAAACCAAAAACCAAACCCACTGCCATGGTGTTGATTCTGACTCATAACAACCCCCTTTGGGTTTCTAAGGCAGAATATCTTTATGGAAGTGGATTCCCTTTTTCTTCCATGGAGCAGCTGTTGGGTTTGAACCTCCAACATTCTGGTTAGCTGTCAGATGCCTTAGGCACTGCACCACTGGATCTCCTTATGTAACAATAATGAGATTATAAATTTCCTGCAGACAGGGACCTTCTTAGTACAATGAATAGAGTGGTTGGTTGAAGCCACCAAATTCTCTGCATTGACTAGCCATGAACTCACCATGAATAGTCTTTGCAGAATGCTTTATAACCAAACTATCTTAAGGTCTTTGTTCTCCAGGAGGATTATTTCTAATACCCTAAATTATTTCCCATCAGTTCTCTCTTAATTTATCTTATGGTATTTATACTCAGGAAGACGTAACTTTAAATTCGAGGTGTTCAAGCCAAAATACCAGGAAAGATATTATCTTCCTTTACCTAACAAACATATCCAAGAGTCAGGTGACAGAAGAGGGTCCCGATCCCAGCCCTAAAAAACATAGGATCCCCAACCCCTCTGTCGGAGAAACATCGTCTAAGCTCTAACTTTAGGATGACAGATACAGCCGAGTCATTTTGGGACCAAAGACTAAAGCTGTTGTCTAAATGACATCAAAACATTTGGAAGCAAAGTGACACATCCAGTCATCTGGCTATTCTTTCCTTCCTGGCTGTCAAACAGCAGGGTATTCCGCAACATGCAGATGATTCACTAGGGCCTGTATGACTGTTCCACATGGAGAGATTATTGTCAGGGAGATCTTGAAAAAGAATGTGTGAGCTGTAGACAAGGTAGGGATTCCACCTCAGAGGATATGGCTTGTTTATGAGACTTCTCAAACAAAAAGTCTTTCAGCTCCCTGTCTGATCTCAGCTCCCACCGCCTGCCCTTTCCACATTACCAGGGCTGCTGGTCCTTGCCAAAGGAGGGCGGGAAGGAGCTGCTCTCAGTTCCTTGGCACTGGTGGTTAGCATTAAATAGTTTTTAAATGCTGGCAACATTCACATTCCCATCTCTCCGGCTTTTCCCTGTGGCTTGGATGATCATTTGCTAAATATCTTACGACACATTATCTACAGCTTCCAAAGCCCCTGCTCCCTCTCCCCCAGGATGATTCACAAGTTAACCAACAAATGGGTCATCAGTTATTCATAGTACTTTCTCTGGACACAACACACTTAGAGATTTGTGTTCATAAAAATAGGAAGAAAAATGCCTTTGGGCAACAGTCAAAAAGAGTTTCCAGGCTCCCATCAGGGCCCTGCCCCCAGTACCTCCCTTCAGTACGGCCTGGCTCCCGTTACTACCTTCCCGCTGCTGTGAGCACACGGACACCAAGGTACATGTGGAATAAGCTGGGTCTGCACACATTACTTCTCTAGCTACCATCAAAAATTGGGCTGAGCCAAGTTTCTGGCTTCTTTTCTAAATTTGAGTGAGAAGCGAGGAGACTGAGACCCCTCAGTAAGAACTCCAGAAAGGCAAGCAGCAGTGGCTGTGGTGCCACCCTACAGATTCTCAAGCACAGACGTGAGGGACGAAACCAGAGGGACCTCCCCACATCGATGCCCCTAGGAAAAGGGGGAAATTATGCTTCTGTGGAAAGCTTACTTACTTAGTACTGAATCCCAATGAAATTTACTCAGCATCATTTGAGGCTTCCAAAGGTAAATCCTTTTTGCGAGCAAACCTAACTTGTTTGACATCTACTACCAACTGTGGGGTGCTGAGAAGATGGGCTAGGGGTGGGAGGAGTTGGAATTGGCCCCTGAGTATCTATTCCAGAAATACCTACTGGGGAATTGGGGTACGGGGCGCCTAAAGAAACCAGTTACAATCCTAAATCCTGAGAGACTCCTTTCCACCATGACCATGACCATGACCATGACCATGCTCTCTCTTTCCTCCTCTTTCCACATACACTTCCTACAACAGTGTGGGGCCTGTTCTTCACTAGTTAGCCACTGCCCCAGTAGTCTCTCCCCAGCCCATCTAGTTTCTTGGCCTGGTTCTTGGTTGTCTGTTTATATCATGATCGCTGTTTTTATGGTATATCCCCAACCTTCACCATGTGACATGTACATGGTAGGCCCTCCATTAAATGCTTATTGAACTAAAATAAAACAGCAGAATTTCAGAGTTAAAAGACTTCTGGATGTTATCTAGCCCCACTTCATTCATTATGTTCAGTTCATGCCCTAGTCTGGTCTGCCAGGATGTGAAGATGAATGTTGACTAGGCCATGTTCTAGGTCTATTGATGAAGATAAACACATAAATAATTACAGCTCAGCAGATGTAACCAACTCTCCAGAGATGGGAAAAAGGATTCACATAGGATGTAGCATAAAAGTATGAAAGTCTTGCACGTGTTCAGAAAAAGCAAGAGATTGGGTGTGGCTGCAATAGTTGAGGGAATAAAAGGTGAATGGGACAAAGTGCCAGATTGTGACAAGCCTTATAATCCATGTAAGGACCTATCTTGGGCTGTATTCATAGGAAATTAGTATCCAGTGAATGGTGTCAAGCAGAAGAATGACATGGTCATACTCCCTTTTGAAAAGTCATCTCCCCAAGTCAACTCATATAATAATAAGAAATCCCCTCAACAGTGCTTCCAATGACCATCTAACACCTATGTAACTACCTGAAGGGGCTGGAAGTTCTCTCCCTTCTAAACCTCATGGCAATTTCCTTCTAGTAGGACTTTTGCCCTGGGCTCACACACACCACATGATTTTCCCTGCCCCACCTCATTCCCTTCAATGACGTTCCAAACTTTTGGGCCAATCATGGACAGCTTTAAGGACACTCCCCCTTGCTCTTCATTCCCAGCTGTTCCTCAGAGCCAGTGCCTTTTACACCCTTAACCTGCAAATTTCCTCTGCCTTTTTTTTTCCTCTTTTGATTTGGGTGAAGTTTTACAAAGTAGATCTGTTTTACATTTAACAGTTCATAACCATTTGCTTTGTGACACTGTTTACAATCCCTACAATGCAACAACTCTCTTCCCACTTCCTCCCTGTGATTACCCTTTCCCTGTGTCCTTTTTGTCTGTGCATTCCTGCCTCCTTAGCTTTCTGCCTGTGCAAATGCTGCCCTTCTGATCTCCCATGGTTAATTGTTCTAAGGAGTGCATCTCCCGGTGTAGTTGTTCAGCTCGTAGGCCTGTCTATTGTTTGGCTGAAAGTTAAGCCACAGGAATGAGTCCAATTCCAGGCCCAAACTGCTGTGATGACCAATTCATTTCTACTTCCATGATTCAAAGTTTATCTGTCCCATTCCCATCTCCAGAGAGGTCCTTCATTTGTCATAGAATTCTAGAAAATTAGAGCCAGCATCAAGCAACTCATTTAACAAATGAGGAATCTGAGAATCAAAGAAGTTAACATACTCAAAGTCCTAGAGTTTTCTATGATTAATTTATTCAAAGATGGCTTATTACATACATATTCTTACCAGTGCCAACACCTCCACTGCAGGGATTGGCAGTTTAA